TTGTTTGTTTTGTTTTGGGCCTTTGATGCCTAAGACCTGATCCCATTAGCACCTCATGATCACACAGGCTGGTGTGCTTCTTCCAGGTGGGCTTGGTGATGCAAACAGCTTTGTCATCAAAGAAAGTGCATCAGAAAGTGAATTAATGCAGTCATAGGGAAAATGTTAACATCTTAGCATTTAGTTTCCCTTTTGACCCAGTTTTTATTTGTTCTAGTCTTTATTACTTTCTGCTTTCTTTTCGATTAAGGTTTTTTGGTTTTGTTTTGTTGGACCTTGTTTTGGTTTGGGTTTTTTTTCATATGATTTTCTTTATATGAAATCTGCTGTTGTTTCCTGCGCTGTGAGGTGCCATGGAGTTGGTCCTGACTCACAGTGACCCCGTGCACAGGAGAATGAAAGACTGAAATCCTGGATAGATACATCCAGGGAGACAGTAACACATACACAGGTCTTAGGGGTACGGCAGAAGAGGGTGGGGAAAATGGGGAGCTGATAATCAGTCTCATCTACGGACTGAGGGCTGCTTTTGCTGCTCTTTTTCTATGTGTTCACATTACCGGGGCTGAGGTATTTCCACTTTTTCTTCTTTTTTGATGTGCTCATTTATTACTATGAATTGACCTCTGACTACTGCTTTTCCTGTGTCCCCTAAATTGTGGAACACTGTGGCCGATGGATGTGTGCACACTACTAATTCGCAGGTTTGAGTGGCGCTGACGGGGAGGGTGATCACAAAGGAACACCAGACTGCTCGCCTGCCACGTGGAAGGAGAGGGAGACAAGTAGGTAAGGGTGCTACTCCCTTCCTCCTTGCACTCAACAGTGGGGCTGGAACTTGCAGCTGCCCTTAGATTCCTTCCTCTGCAATGATGGATCCCCTGCCTCCATTAACAATCTAATGACCCAGTGTTCCCTCTGAACTCCCTCATCCGAGGATGGCCCACCCCTGGATGTATCCTCCTCACCTTGTCTTTTGTTTCCAGGGGTTTTGTGCACTTGATCCCTGCTAATAGCTATGCTCGCTTTGTTCCTCACTCTGGGTTCTTATTCCATGTGGTCCCAGATGGCCACACTGTTGCTAACAGGCAAGCAGGTCTCCATTCATCTGCACATGTTTTCTGCTAATCTAGCTCTGCCTCTCCTTTCAGTTGGTGTTGGGTACAAATTTCTATCCTTACAGTAAATATGAAGGGGTTTCAAAAAGTTTGGGGAATACTAGAATTGGAAGATAATGAATTTTTTTCCACAAACTTTTTAAGCTCCCTTATACACTGTTTGGAAATAATTTACATGCCAGTCTCTCTTCCTAGACATTGTGTTTCTTTCCTAATATTCTCCCTCTCCCTATAGACACTGAATAGCAAATGTTACTCCACAGTTTTAGATCTATTCAATGTTAGAACTAGTGCAGAGGCAAAAAACAACCATAAAACGCCTACCTCTGTTGGAAGCAAGAATAACTCTCATCCAGTAGAAGGGATCTGCAGAATCTGAGGACATGATTCCAAAGAGTGGTATCTATAATATAATAGAAATAATATAATAGAAAGTCATGTATAACGTGAATGTGAAGTTTTCATTTCATTTACACAGTAATCCCTTAATGTCTGGAATATTCAGGCGAGAAAAACATATGCTCTATTAACAAAACCAAGGATATCACTAGGGGTAAAGTTCTTTAATAAAAAGAAGACAACAAATTATATTACTTAGTACAGTTCACTAGTACATATTCCATCACTAGATTACGAAATGGGTTATCAATACAAGAGGGCTTCAAAAAGTTTGTGGAAAACTAGATTTAAAAGATCATGGATGTATAATAGGATGTTGTATCTCTCTAACCACAGAATAATTTTACAAAACTATGCATATTAAAAGTAACAAAAGTTATACTCCTAAATGTAAAACTGTAAAACAATCCACAATGAAAAGTTATGTCGTTGCTAAAAGTTATATTTATGAAACTTAAAATATTGTATTATTTTATAATGAAATAATAAAAGTGCTTACATTATAACATTAAATATAAAATAGCGGTTCTCAACCAGGACCAATTTTGCCTCCTGAGAACATTTGGCAAAGTTTGGAGACATTTTTGTTTTTCACAACGTAATGTGGGATTGCTAATGATAGCTAGTCGTTAGAGGCCAGGGAGGCTGCTATAAATCCTAAGACACAGGACAGGCCCCAATAAACAGAGCTATGTCAATAGTGTTACAGGTGAGAAACGCTGTCAAAAGAAGGATTTAAAGTTGTATAGAGTAAAAGATCAAGATCGTACAACTCTCAAAAAACTGTCTGCCAACTAGTCAATTCTGACTCGTCCCGCCCTGCAGCACAGGGCAAAACTTGCCCTGCGGGTTTCTGAGACTGTCCAGCGTTATGGGGGTAAGTTCGTTTTTCTCTGGCAGAACTGCTGGTGATTCCAACTGCTGGCCAGCCCAATGCGCCACCAGGCCTCCCTGACATACAACTACACAAATTAAGGAGTATGTTTGTTTGTTTTAATCTTGGATAAAGTCATAGACTTATGACTGATGTTTTTTTTAAAATTCTATCCAGACTTTACCAAAATAAGTATATATTACTTTTTAATCCAGGGGGCGGAAATTAAATCCTTAACTTCAGATCGCTTTCTATTACATGTGCCAAGTTTAAGACACAATGAACAGTTGGCCATGCTCCTCCTTAACCAGGTGGGGAACAGACGCAAAGAAAAACACATTTCCAAGAGAGCTAATAGTGCCCGGCTATCAAAAGATATAGCGTCTGGGGTCTTAAAGGCTTGAAGATAAACAAGTGGCCATCCAGCTGAGAAGCATCAAAGCCCACATGGAAGAAGCACACCAGCCTGTCGGACCACGAGGTGCAGAAAGGACCAGTTATCAGACATCAAAGAACTAAAAATCAGATCAGTGGGTGCCCACCTTCCTGATAAGTTCACTGAAAACAAAGGTGTGCATAAGCAAAGAAAAACACATTTCCTCCCGTTTCAAAAACTTTCCCTAGGATCCTGCCAGGAATTGTCCACAGTCATTTCACCAACTTGACTCTCTTTAGATGTCTGAATTGACTAGCTGGGTGGCCAGCTTGGTAAGGCAACAAGTATAGACCCTGCGTGTGCGCCCAGCAGAGATGCATCCCAAGTAAAGGGTGGGAAGGAGAGACATTCTTATGGAAAGACCCATGAACACTACAGGATGGTCCATAGAAAAAATATTCTGTAAGTGGCTAAGAAGTTAATCGTTCAAATTCATCTCCTTAATTATGTCCAACCGAGATAGAGCCTTTGTCTCCATGGGACCGAGGACAAAGGCAGCCTCCTCCCTGAATTGGTAGGCTGTCTGTCTTTCCTGCAATCACTGGGGTTTGTGAAAATCAGTCTCTCCGTTTATTTCTCTTAATAAAGTCCACAGCTACAGGACTCCGAGGAATAATAGGCAGCAACAAGAACTATTTTCTATGAATCTGATCATTGAAAAAGAGCTTTGTACTCTGAATTACCTATAATAAGTGACTTCAACTTGACAAAACACAGTATAGCACTTAGGAGAATAAGGCACTCCATAGTTTAAGAGGAACACTGATCAGATAGACAAAAAGAGAGTTAGCTCTGAGGATTTCCATGAAAGCAGTAGAAACTGAAAACCCAGCAAGGCATGACCTGGCTAACAAGTGCCACGCCTTTAATTACTTAACATGGCCATATTCCTCGATATTATGTGAGGAGTGTAAATCCTAGCCTCGATACCGGTGGTTTGTGTTAAAAAAAAAAAAAAAGAACTTGTGGTTTCAAGCTATGCCCTCAAGAGGTACACTGCCAGTTGCCTGCTTAACAGGAGGCTGGGCCCAGGGAACTGATGAAGACAAGGCCTGGCCCCCCTAAAATGCACAGAAGTGATCAATATATTCGCTAACCGTTTGGCATGTGAAGGCAAATAGCACATCTCCATCCAAGCCCCACGGTGGGCAAGATACCATCTCTGTCTCTCCCCTTATGTGCAGAAGGCTACTAGTGCTACGTCCCCAGTGACCACCCTAAGAGACTGCTGTACCAGGACTCAGGTAGCGCCCTGACGTGCGTCCCAGCATGCTCCTTTGCACGCGAGATCATCTCTCCCCTTTGAACATCTCTCAGCTCTCTGCAGCTGCACTGAGCAGCTTTGGCTAAATGTATTCTCACGCTCTAGGTCTGGTGTCTGGCTCTTGAGCCAACAGCCCAGCACCTGACCTGCTCCACCGGGCTCCACAACCTTTCAAATCCGCCACGCTGGTTTGGTGTGAAAGAGAACCCTCCTGGAGAGGTCTGAATTTCAGATTTGGCCCTTGCTAGCCTCCACAACCAAGTGAGTCGCTCCGAGGGTTTGTGAGTTCTGCGAGTTGTTTCGGTGAATTTCAGAACCCAGGAAGGTGAAGGGATAGACTATGGGGAGGAGCGGTGGTTGAGATCAGGGACAAGGAGTAGTGTGATACTGGGGAAACACCTTTAACCTCCACCTTGATGGAATCAGCTTCGTATTAATCTTTCTAAAAGCAATTCTTTTTGGAACATGCCGAGTTTCAGTCACATTACTTTTCATTCCCCTGACACATACGAGGGCACTTCAAAAGTTCCTTGGAAAAGAGAATTAAGAAAAGGCAATCTTTGCGTGTGTTCTTTGAAGCCCCCTGGTAATGAAGCTAACAAAAAAACGTGGGGGTGGGGGGCATATGGTTTGGAAGGAGGGGATCATGAAGTAGCCCAAGAAAACGTCCAACAGTGGTTGTCTTGGGGGTGGGGACAGGAAACAGACCACTGGGGATTTATGAGTCATCACAAAGCTGTGCCTCCTCACTGCCACAGATTCTCAGCCTCCCTGGGAAGGCGCTGCATCTGAAGCAAAGGGGAACGGCTCAGACATCCGTATCTCTCCTCTCTGTGGGTGTCAAGTGTAGAAGCAGCAGCTGCAGAGAAATGGGTGAGGCACACAGGAGCTGACTGAAATGGGAGCGCACACCGCTGTACTGAATTGGAAGTGGGAAGGGTCTCAAACCTGGACTGAAATATCAACGTGCCCCAACCCCCTGCTACTGATTTGATGTCTAACTTGCGGCGTTTCTGAGCCTGTACACCTTTCTGAGAGCAGAGAAGCGACAGCTTTCTCTCTCGGGGTGGCTGATGGGTCTGAACCCCCTACAGTGAGACTTCATGGTCCAATCCATTCATTCCAAATTCGTGTCCCCAAATCAAAAAGTTCAAGAACTGAATATATTTTTCGCATCATAAGAAATCATGGAAAACCAAATCATTGGTTCTGAGGCCCCAAAAGCACACCGCTGAATTCATTTTCCCAGAATTTTAAATCACTATGGAGGTTTTTAAGTGTCTCACAGATCACTGTCTTGGATGCTCTATCGCCATGGAGTTGTGACTGATTTTCTCTACTACACAGCAGATTTTCAACTTCTTCCATGGTCTGGGTTCTTTGTTTTGGGGTGAACGATTTCACACCTTTCGCTACATTAGTTGCTTTAATCACTTCTTTTTCTTTCTCAAAAATGCTGATAGTGCCAACTTAGCCATGTCCTAGTCAGCCACCAACTCAGAGAAGCGGTGACCTGATTCAAATTTCGCAACAATTTCTTTCTTCAACTCTATCCTGGTTCTCAGTTTTCCTCTTGGCTTTGCTGCCGGTAACACTAGGTTCCTTTAAAGCCATGGTTATGATATTTTACACAAACACAGCGCAAACAAACCAAAAAAAGCAGAGAGGAAAGTTTTGATGCACTAACACAAGCACTGTGTGTTGTCTGAACGAGAGCAGCGCTTAGACTGAACTGTCACCCCTTTGTGTCCGTGACAAGGTGTGACGGGTGATTCACTCCCGGCCGATCCGGATTTTCGGTTCAACTATCGAGCAGAATTATGAACACCAAGGAGATTTTTCTTCAGAACTTTGCTGTTCAAGTAATGGAAGGTGGGGCTTGGAGCTCTTTGACAACCAGGGAATCACTGTACTTCGAGGTTAGTGACCCAACCGGATTGAAACAAACCCCGCCTGCCCCCCACCAGTTAAGCAGTGAAGGGGCCTTAGTAGCGCTGTGGGTTAGGCATTGGGCTGCTAACTGCTAGAGCAGCAGTTCAAACCCACCATCCACTGCATGTGATAAGGATGAGGCTATCATCTGTTGCCATAAAGATTTTCAGTCCCACCCCCACCCTACTCCCATATACCTTTAAGGCCCACAGAGGGATGGGAGGGGGGGAGATAGTAATGGGGGGCCAGGCACTAATCCACCCAAGGGAGGGTACCACCGTTTGTCTCCACAGGAAAGGGAGGGAGTGAGAAGACCTCATCCTGGTGCGCCAATCCCTGAGGGCGATGTTCCTGCTCAGAGCACCATATTTACAGAGACTACTGCAGGGCTGGCCTCACCTGGAGACATGACGTCTCCTCCCTAGAAAACAGCACTACCGAGGACAGTCCTGAAGATACGGGTGCAGGGAGAGCAACCGGACTGACCAGCTCACAGGG